CTCCTGGGCTCAAGCGATCCTTCTGCCTCAGCCTCCTGAGTAGCTGGGACTACAGGCATGTGCCACCATGCCCGGCTAATTTTTTCTATATATATTTTCAGTTGTCCAGCTAATTTCTATTTTTAGTAGAGACGGGGTCTCACTCTTGCTCAGGCTGATCTCAAACTCCTGAGCTCAAAACGATCCTCCCGCCTTGGCCTCCCAGAGTGCTAGGATCACAGGCGTGAGCCATGGCACCTGGCCCATGTATTCTTTATAGTGAGGAGTGAGTGTGTGTGAAATGATGCGCAGGGAGGAATACAACAGGCCATGGTTACTTATTCACAGAAATGTTTTCTTTCTGGAGGATTTACCTCCCAAGCTTTTCAGTTTGGCCACATTGACTTTATTTGTAGATTCATTCTGCCAAAGACAGATGGCGAATAATAGAAATATTGAAGTGTTTGACAGCTTTCCCGTAATAACATTCTCCTAGGCTTTATTCCCAGATATCTAGAGAGGTAAACACTGTGCAGTTTCCCAGAGAGGAGCTGAGATTCAGGGGAAAATGTCATGCTAATGTTACAACTGGAGCAACCCACAATTTTGCAAGAGTGTAGGGCCCCTTATAGAGCCTCAGCTTTCAGAACCCTTTCATAATGTTAGATTTACTGATGGATTAACATATGACTGAACATTGAGAATAATGGCAAACATTTATTTGGCATTTGTCTGTCAGCCAACACCACACATGGATTTGTGTGCTGAACACCATACATGGGTTCTCTCAGCTTTAGGACACACCATAGCTAACAAAATGAGCATTAATTGAGCGCTTGTTGTATGCAAGGCATTGGTCTACCCTCATTAGATACATTACCTCACTTAATCCTCACACAATCCTAAGAGGGAAGGACTATTACTATCCTTTTTTTTATAGATGAGGAAACTGAAGCTTAGAGAGATTAAGTGACTTGCCCAAGGGCGCTTAGCAGCTAGAGAGTTTCTGTGGAGAGAAGGCAAAATCCCAGGCCAGGCAGTCTGACCTCAGAGCCTCAACTCTCAGTCCTCAGGCTATTACAACGCTTGAAACGCTTTGAGGCTGCTGACATAAGGAAAACAAAAGTTTTTCCAGGCAGAATTCTGATACTTTCCCATCTGTCCTATTGCTGGGCAAAACTCCTGTGTGTTCTTTGATTGGATCTGCTTTCAGAGTGCTGAGAGCTCTGTGTAGTGGAGAAAACCCTTCAAAAAACAGGGAGAATGACAATAAAGACAATCCAACAGCGCTACCTAATTACAGCACAGAAGCCTCATCCCTTTTTGTCCCCCCCTCCAAGAACAATCCCCATAAAAACAAGTTTATTAAGGAGCAAATCCTACCCTTTTTGTTTAAAAGCCAGTGCTTATAGGCTCGCCCTTGCAATGTGGCTGCATTAACTCTCGGCTGGGGGGAAACCCTAATTTCTGAACTGAGCAAGGATTCCTGCCTTTTCACGATTCTGCTTACTTTGAACGACAGAAGCGCAAGGCCTTGTGGGCGTGGCTGGGATGCTCCGGCCCGGGCCGGGGCGGACTCTATTGCCGCTGGCCCAATCACGACGCGCTGCTCCTCCTGGCCGGCAGCCGATTGGTGGTTGCCATAGCTCCGGGATTTCGCTTGAGAAGATGGCGGCGGCGGAGCTGCCGCGGCCGCGTTTTCGCGTTTTGGCCTTTCCTGGCTTCTAAGGCGGGCGCGGTTCTGCGGTGCTGGGCCCGCGAGGCCCAAGCATGGACTTTCCGCCGCCGGCCGCTCTCCTTTTGGGGCTCCTCCTTCTGCAGGGCGTCCTGAGGCCTCTGTGGGGGGACCTGGGTGTGTACGACGGGGCAGGGACCTTCAGGGCTCGGGGCTGAGGGGACCGCGCGTTCGAAGGGTCAGACGGGGGAACTCCCGGGAGGCCGCCACACACCCCTCAGGCACTGACACTTCAGCTGTTAACCTCTGCCTGTCCCCTTCCTTCCCGCCTAGTTTTCATCCCTTCTTTCATCCGAATGTCCGGCCCTGCGGTCAGCGCGTTCCTGGTCGTCGGAGACGCCGCCAATGTGACTGTGTCCCTGGCCGTGCTGCATGACGAGGCGGGTAAGGAGTCCCGCCCTTCTTGTGGGGAGGGTGGGGATTGAGCCAGATCCAGGCCGCCCACGGAGCCGGCGAGGTGGCGTACTCTGGCCCCCAGCCTCGGTCCTCTGCAAAGTCCGGGTGGGGAGGAAGGATGGGGGCTGCTGTAGACCAAAGAGGACCGATGGGCAGGTTCGGTAAAAGAAAACTTGAAATCATAATGGCTAGCATTCATCGAGCTATCCCATGCATCATCTCATTTTCCTAATAAGAGTAGCAATGCGTTTTCATTCCATTTGACAAATGAAGAAACTGACTTTCAGAGAGATTGTCACTTGCCCAATGTCACACAGCTTGTAAAGGGCCCAGTCCTAGGCTTGTAAAGAGATTAGGCAGTCTGACGCTAGTGCACCCCCTTAGCTGCTGGGCCATGGTGCCTGGCATTCTGATCTTCTCTTCTTTAGGAGTCTTGCCGGTTCCAACTTGTGTCGGGCTGAGCACTGAGGCAGAAAACTGGAGTGTGACTGTGACCTCCAGTGCAGTAAGGCCACAGGTAAAACCTTCTCTGTAACCCGTGTAGGCCCATGTTTAGGGTTTCTGCAATGCTGTCATGATTTGACAAGGTAGAGTTTTCTTCTCACTCAGAACTGTCATTAAATTGTGGGCTATGGGATCTGGTAGACACTGAACCAGCCCAGGGAGTTCTTACTGTGTGATTAGGGGTCCTTGGATGCATTTCCAGGGGTCTGTGAACCCTATGACATTGTATGTAAAATTCTGCGTGTATGTGCATTTTTCTAATGAGAGCTTCACCAGCTAGCGTCATACTATCAAATGGGTCAGCTACTCAAAAAAGCTTCATAACCACTCATCTTGCCCAACTCTGAGTTTATGTGTAAAGACGCTCAGTCCTGGAGAGATTAAATATCTTCTATTTAATAAGTGTTTATCGAGTGCCTAGTATGTGCAAGACATCAACTCTGGAGATAAGAGGATGAGAAAGATCAACTCTGCCTACACCCTAGGAATGAATATTTATAAAGTCATTCTGAGATAAACCGAGGGTTGTTTCTGTCGACTTTTTTTGTGTATTTAATCTGCCTGTAGGTGATAAACTAAAAAGTTGCTACACAAACTAAGTTAATTTATCAGACCTGGGTTTAGCTTTCTGTCAGTATCCAAAAGTTGTTTGCTTTTATGCTAAATTAAGGAGCAGGTATTAGAGATTGTATATTACCAGATTTATGGAGTGTACTTAAAGATAACTCTGTCATCTTTGTACACAGTTCTCCTTTTATAAAATGAACTGAGGCTAGTGTGTGCTTGTATTGTGTTTTCCATTGTGTGTTCTTATAGATGCTGCTTTGAGTCACTTTAAAAGCGCAGCAATCTTTTCCTTTCAGGATGTGCTGGAAGTGACAGTAAGGTTGACGAAGGGTCTGGAGTGGTGTTCCTCTAATGAGACAGATTCCGTCTCAGAGTCCCCGTGTATCGTCCAAGCTCTTCTGGTTTCAGCATCTCGCAGTTCATCCTGTTTGGCACATCTACTCATTCAGGTGGAAATGTACGCCAACTCTTCTCTGACCCATAACGCCTCAGGCAAGTGAAGTCTTTGGCCGTCAAAGTGTTCCTGTCAGACTTACCTGTGTGATAAGTATGTGCCCTGCGGTTGGTAAGGTGTGCTCACCTTCACTCTTGAGTCTGTCTTGCCTCTATAAACTTACTTTTCTTTTTTTAGTTTTCTTATTTTAAAAGTTTTCATTTTGTACTTTTTTTTTTTTTTTGAGACAGAGTCTCACTTTGTTGCCCGGGCTAGAGTGAGTGCTGTGGCATTAGCCTAGCTCACAGCAACCTCAGACTCCTGGGCTCAAGCCTCCCGAGTATCTGGGACTACAGGCATGCGCCACCATGCCCGGCTAATTTTTTTTCTATATATTTTTAGCTGTCCGATTAATTTCTTTCTATTTTTGGTAGAGACGGGGTCTCGCTCTTGCTCAGGCTGGTCTTGAACTCCTGAGCTCAAAGAATCTGCCCGGCTCTGCCTCCCAGAGTGCTAGGATTACAGGTGTGAGCCACTGTGCCCGGCCTCATTTTGTACTTTTATTTAAGGTTTATTTTATTTTGCTCTACTGTTTGGATCTTTGTAAACCATGTTAAATCCTTTTTGAGAGAAGGTGAAATTTATTTCTGTGCATTTATTCTCATGACTCCATCTTATAAAAAAAAAAGGAAGGGAAAAGCTCATGAACAAGTTTATAGAAAAATAGATTTTCAGCGAAAGCTTTTGACTTCCAGCTCCCCTTCCTAGAGTCAGCCTGCTAACTTCTTATCCTTATAGAAGCATGTATTGCCTTCTTTGAAAAACACTGACACACACACACAGTAATACTTAATAACACAGTTCATGATTCTCTGCTTTTTAAAAAATAACAAAACTTAGAGCTGGTTACATGAACATGTGTAGCCCAGCCAGCTTATACCAACGAGCTGCCGTCACGTGCCAGGCAACTTACTAGGCTGGGTTTCAGAGTCAGCACAAAAGGAAAGATCCCCATCTTAATCTCTTACAGTTTAAAAAATAAGTAACCAAACAGACGCAATGAGACGGAGAAGGAAACGGTGCTGAGAATGTAATTGTTGGGGGGCGGTGAGAAGAGCTCTGGCTCTAGCTGGGGAGCTCCTGCCAGACTTTCTGTAAGGCAACGGCCTTGCAGCGAGGCGCTGAAGGAGACAGTGGAGGGGAGAATGGGGCTGAGGGGCTCTCCCGGGAGAGGAGAGGCCAGGAGCGGGGTATGAAAGGCAACAGTGGAGCCAGAGCGTGGAAAACAGGGAGGGGGTGCTCAGGACAGGGGGCAGGGGCCTGGTCGCAGGGTACCTGGCCCAGACGGGGAGCTTCAGAAGTCAGTGGATGGGTTTTAGCAGAAGAGCGATGCAGTTTGACTTGTATTTTTTAGAAGGATCTCTAGGATTAAGTGTGGAGAATGCCTGGAGTGGCCCCAGCCCTGTGGCAGGCAGGCACTGTGAATTGGCTGCCAAGAACTGACTTATCGCAAGCTGAAATTGCCTCAGGATTCTGCCTTAGAGGTAGTTAATTTCCCTACACTGGAAACAGGATCGTGGTGTGAGGATTTGGATTTGCAATGGCAAGTGGGGGGCCTTGAGGTCCAGCATGTAGCATAATTCAATGTGATCTTGTGATCTGATGGATTCCAGATAAGCTGTCTGCTGTGTCGCCATGGCCTCAGTTCTATCTGCTAGGAAAAGGTAATGGATTTGAAGGAGTAAGCGTTTAAGGTCTGGGTGTGTTATGAAAGGATTGTTCAGCATAGTGAAAAATAAAATCAGTGCGTTACATTTATCCTAACTTGTAACTTTTAGTCCATTGATTATCTTCAAGATCAACTATGGCTTCTTTGGTTCATTGTAACTAGCATGTTTTCTTATAGCTGGATTTTGATGGAGTAGCAGGCCCAGGCCTCAGCTATGTTCTGTGCAGAGCTCATTTCAGGCATTCCTCAATGTGCAATATTTGGTAATGGTGATTTATAAACATGATGATTCAGCTTTTTTTTCTGAATGTCAAAAATGTGACCATACTTTGTCAGAGTGTTTCATAGCTGAACTTTTCTGTTGTGTGTACTTTTCAGAGAACATGACTGTTATTCCTAACCAGGTGTATCAGCCTCTTGGTCCTTGTCCTTGTAATTTAACAGCCGGGGCCTGTGATGTTCGCTGCTGCTGTGACCAGGTATGTTCTTTCTGATTACTGGGCACAGAAGTTATGCCACCTGATAGCACGTGAACTCCAATAGTTCCCCACCAACAGCTTTTTAATGGATGTGCTTTCAAAACTGAAGTTATATTTCCTATTGCAAATTGTTTTCAAATTGAGTATTTTCTTATGTGGCATTGTCAGTTTAGTTTATGGAAGGAAAAAAAAGTGTATCTATTTGGATAACATCGTGATTGGGAAGACCATACGGAGAGGTTGGTTTTAAATTTATTTATTTGCTCATTAGTTTTTTTTTAGAAACAGGGTCTTGCTCTGTCACCCAGGCTGGAGTGCAGTGGCCTGATCAAAGCTCACTGCAACCTTGAACTCCCAGGCTCAAGCAATTCTCCTGCTTCGGCCTCCCCAGCAGCTTGGACTACAGATGCCTGTCATCATGCCTGGCTTATTTTTTACTTTTTTAGCAAAGATGCAGTGTCGCTATATTGTTCAGGCTGGTCTTGAACTCCTGGCCTCAAGTTGTCTTTCCGTCTTGGCCTCCCAAATTGCTGGGATTACAGATGTGAGCCACTGCACCTGGCCTAATATTATTTATTTAGAAGCTTTTAAGAAAATATAAAAAGGATGCAAGTACAGTTTTTCATCGATTTTTAGTAAATTTACAGAGTTGTGCAAACATCACCACATTCTAATTTTGGAGCATTTCCACCACTGCAGAAAGGAACCTTGTGCCCATTTGCGGTCATTCCCATCCCCATCCCCATCCCAGGCCACCGTTAATCTACCTTTGGTCTCTTTGGATTTGCCTATTCTGGACATTGCATTTACATGGAGTCATACAACATGTGGTCTTCGGGGACTGGCTTCTTTGCTTGGTATGATGCTTTTAAGGTTCATTCATGCTATAGCCTCTATCACTACCTCATTCCTTTTTTATGGCTGAATCATATTCTATTTTATGGCTATGTCACATATTTTTTATCCATTTATCAGTTGATGGACATTTATTTGGGTCATTTCCATTTTTTGGCTATTATGCATAATGCTGCCACGAACATTTGTGTACAAGTTTTTGTGTGGATATGCGTTTCCATTTCTCTCCTATAGCTAGGAGTGGAATTACTGGGTTATATTGTTACTGTATGTTTAACCTTTTGAAGGCCTGCTTTCCAAAGCAGCTGAACGTTTCACATTCCCATGAGCAATGTTCCTGGGTTGCAGTTTCTCCATGTCCTCACCGACACTTGTTATTATTCGTCTTTTTCATTGCAGCCGTGCTAGTAGGTGTGAACTGATATTTCATTGTGATTTTGATTTGTATTTCTGCGGTGGCAAATGATATTGAAGATCTTTTCATGTGCTTATTAGATACATGTTTATCTTTTTTGGAAAAATGTCTATTTGGACTCTTCACCCATTTTTACATCGGCTTGTCTTTTTGTTAAATTGTGAGTTCATTATACATTCCAGATCCCAGTCTCTTATCAAATATATGATTTGCAGAAAGTTTGTCCCATTGCATAGGTCGTCCACTTTCTTGTTGGTGTCCTTTGAGGCACAAAAGTTTCTTAATTTGATGAAGTCTAATTTATCTAATATTTTTCTTTTTTTACTTGTGCTTCTGGTGTCATTTCTTAGAAACCGTCGCCTAATCCCAGGTCAAATACATACTTTTAATTCTTATTTAGATTTAAGAGGAATGAGAAATACAGAAGAACATTTACTAATACTCAGGTCACTCCCATTTCTAGATGAGTGCAATTATGTTTGGTTGAGTTTTTCCTCCCCTAATGGGGAAATGCAAATTTATTTTTTTAAACCACTTCATTGAGGTGTAATTGACATACAAAAAGCTGTAGATATTTAAGATACACAACTCGATGTGTCTGGAGATAAGTATACACCGAGGAGCCCATCATCACAATCAGTACCATACACTTATCCACCCCTCCTTCCTTCCACCCACTTTGGGTTTTTTGGTTGTTTTCTTTTGTGGTAAAAGCACTTAATATAAGATCTACCCTCTTAGCAAATCTTTAAGTATACTGTGTCATGACTGGTTTTACAATACAGAAAAGGGCAGTCGAGGGGCTGCATTAATGTTGTAACTCTTAAGCTAACAATTATACTTAATTATGTAACAATTATATTTAATTAAAAGAGGAAAGCACATCATAAATATGATTCAGGTATCAATAGAAATGTCAAAATACGTCTTCAGATAACCACAACTTATCACTTTATACATGATTGATTTTTAATTTGAATTGCTCTTGTTTAAAACAATGACCCAGGAGCGTCCTGCTGGCCTCAGTGTTCATCGCACTGCCAGGGGATCATGAGGCCATCACAGAGGAAGCTCTTGTTCTCTCACTGGGTCTTTATGTTTGCTTTCAAGGAATGCTCATCCCAGTTAACGGAACTGTTCCAACAGTCCTGTTTCCCCGGCGTGTTTGGAGGAGATGTCAATCCTCTGTTTGATCAGCTCTGCTCTGTTGGGAGGACGCACCATGTCCCCGAGTGGTTTCCCCTCCTGTGCGTGCAGTCGTCCCTGGCCAACACGCCCTTCCTCGGTTACTTCTACCACGGTTCCATGTGAGTGTCGGAGCAGCTGTCTGGCAGAGGGCGGTGTTCTCCAGCACCAGTGGGGCCACGCTCCAGGAGCCTCTATTAGGCTGGTCACATGTTCCCCAGTGCCTTTCCAGAGGTCCCACGCCTAAAAGATGCAGTTCTGCACTTTGGTTAGCAGATCTGTTTTGCATTAAGTATTTAAAAGCATTGGGCCTCATTGAAAATAATGTCTTTTTATTTTTATTTACATTCTTAAGACTTTATGCATGAAGAGATGACAATGAATTGACACTGCAAACAGTTCTAGTGCTTTTCTAGGCTAGGAGGAGTGGTGGGCTCACGGTGACTTTAACTTTCTGTATTTTACAGTTCCGTGTTGTTGGAAATTTACAACTATCTCTTATTTTTGTAATTAAAAAAGTAAAAAACTTAAAGGAAGAATTGTGTTTCAGCAGAGGGTAACTGAAAGTGTTAGTGATGGTCTTTCATTTTGCTTTTCAGTTCCCCTAGACAGGACTCTTCCTTTGAAAGATATTTGCATATTGATCCAAAAGACTTTTCAGACTTTGGTTACAAACAAGGAGATCCAATTATGACTGTAGATAAGGCATATTTTACTATCCCACAGGTAATCATTTCAATTTTAATAGGCTATTAATAGATGCTTCTCTTATTTTTCCCATCCTGTTGTTAATTTAACTCATACTGCTCATCAGAGTCTCTCTCTAAGTTATTTATTTTTCTCCTATGGACTTTCCAGGGATGTAACTATTTATGGTCTCTAGATTTTTTTAAAAAAATATTCACTCTTAAATTAATCCTGTCTTTGCTAAGTCTCACTATAAGCTTACAAAATAAAACCAAAAGATTTTCTATAAATTTCCATGGAAGTAACTATCATTCTTCACTTCTGTTAGTTTAATAGCCAATTTCTTGTAAGCTAGGAAGATATCATTTTATATAACATACCAGAAATTTGAAACATATTTTAAGGCTATAAGGTTTTATATGAAATCTTTATTTTTTTAAGTTCAACATTATGAGGAGCAAATATTTATGGGGAGAAAGCTTGGGAGTGTAAACCATTTCTCTGTTTTTATGGTATTAAAAAAATCTGGTTGTGACGAGGGAGAGAAGATGAAGTTGAATATAATCATGTCTCTGCAAAGTAATCGGAGCAGAGCAAGGGATTTTCTTTGTTTTTATTAAATAGTATTTATTAAGACTTCTCCACCAGTGGCTTGCAGACCTTGATTAGTCAGACGTTTTACTAAAGTTGGTCATCTAGACAATATACTAGCCATTGTGAAACTAAACCACCAATAGGAGCAGGGTGCAGAAAGAACAATTTTAAGAGATGCTGATCTATTTTTTATGATTAAAAGACAGGCCATAAATCTGTTGGGTTTTTCCCTCACCGTCAGGTGTCCCTGGCTGGGCAGTGTGTGCAGAATGCCCCCGTGGCATTTCTTCAGAATTTTGATGTTAAATGCATTACTGATTTGGAAATACACCAAGAACAAGATGGTATTCTCGATGTGAAGATAAAGAGTGGCGCTATGGAGAGACGTATGTTACATTTCTTTGAAAAAAGAATGCAGGCCCAAGCATTAAGATAAACACTGATCTCATGAGATTATAAATAAATCACTTCTACTGGGTAGCATAAAATAGTATTTCAGCTGCCAATTGAGGAAGGTGTTTTCCTTAGAAAAAGATCAGTTCCATAAGACAACATACTGCACATTACTTCTTTTTTTTTTTTTGAGACAGAGTCTGGCTCTGTTGCCTGCTAGAGTGCCGTGGCGTCAGCCTAGCTCACAGCAACCTCAAACTCCTGGGCTCAAGCGATTGTCCTGCCTCAGCCTCCCGAGTAGCTGGGACTACAGGCATGTGCCACCATGCCCGGCTAATTTTTTCTATATATATTTTTAGTTGTCCAGCTAATTTCTTTCTGTTTTTAGTAGAGATGGGGTCTCTCTCTTGCTCAGGCTGGTCTCGAACTCCTGACCTTGAGCGATTCTCCCACCTCGGCCTCCCAGAGTGCTAGGATTACAGGCGTGAGCCACCGTGCCCGGCCACATTAGTTCTTTTTTCGAAAGTGAAGTAAAATTCAAATAACATAAAATTAACCATTTTAAAGTGTACAACTCAGTGACATTTAGTACATTCACAGTATTGTGCCATCCTCACCTCTGTCTAGTTCCAAAACATTTTTATCACCCCAGAAGGAACCCTTGTGCTCACTGTTCTCCCCTCCCCCCAGAAAACTACCAGTCTACTTTCTGTCTCTATAGATTTGCCTATTCTAGGTATTTCATATAAATGGACTCATACAAAATGTGGCCTTTGTGTCTGGCCTCTTTCACTTAGCATGATGTTTCCAAGGTTCATCCATGTTGTAGCATGTGTCAGTCCTTCATTTTTATGGCTGAATCATACTCTGTTGTATGGACAGGCCACGTTTTGTTTGTCCATTCATCAGTTGATGGACATGTGGATTGTGTTCACTTTCTGACTGTTGCACATAATGCCACCGTGAACACTTGTGTGAAAGTTTTTGTGTGGATGTGTGTTTTCATCTCTCTCGGCAGACACCTAGGAGTGGAATTGTCATGTCACATGGTAATAAGGCTTTTTTTTTTTTGATCTTTCAAAAGCAGGTAACATGACTTTTTGAGGACCCACCAAACTGTTTCTGCTGTGGCTGCGCCATTTCGCACTCCCACGCAGCAGTGCACTGCGTGTTTGTTCTTACGTGAGAGTGACACCCCAGAGTATCAACCTGCCTTTTGCGATTCTCCTCCATGGTTATAATTAGATGCTTGGAAGGGTGGGATTGCCATCTGACAGTGTTTGAAGAGTGGGGAGGGTTCTGTAGTTGGCACACAGGGCAGGCACGGTCGCCACGTTTGTTGATAAGCTTTCCTTTGAGTCAGTAACTGTGATCATGGTAGGCCAAGGAGTCCTGGGGAAGTTAATTCATGTTTCTTTTTAGGCATAGTTACACCAGAAGTAATCTACGAGGCAAGAACTGACCTAGACAAATTCATCACCAATGCAGGTATTTTAACGTTACACTTTTATGCAATTTCTATAGGAGTATATGTGTTGTTTCTTATAAGTAACATATAGCCCCAGAGTAAAATACATTTTTAAAAAAAATTTAAAGGGGTTCACCACAGTTAGAACGATATCCCAATAGTATTTCATTTGTTCCTTGCTCTGCCCTGCCTTGCTTTAGAGCACTTTCCCTGACCTTGAGTCACGTCCTTCACAGTCCTGCATTATACGAGTCCCTTGTTCTATGAACCTTTTCTTTTCTTTTTTTTTTTTTTAACCAACCAAGAAGAAGCACTGATTGTGAACCTTTTCTTAAATGTTTGTCAGATAGTTAAAGAATTCTTTAGAAGTGCTTTTTCACTTCTTGCTTTCTTTTCTTTTTTTGATAATTAAACTTCGCAATTGTGATGCAGGCAAATAAGTTATGTAGAGTTAGGCTGATCTTACCAGGACTTTTTGTTTTTAATGAAGGAGACTATTTGTGTTTCTTTTTAATGTGTTACAATTCTCGAGTCTATTCATTGCTTCGTCAGATGAGAGTGGAGTTCCTACGGTACAGCAGGGCACTGGCCAGCAGGCCCTGCAGCTGTGGAGCTGACACTCTGTCATTGTTCATCTCCAGCACTTTGCCAGGTGTGCTCCGTGTCTAGCTGTGAGCCAGGTGCTAGGGGTACAGAAGTGAGAGGAAAGGGCCCGATGCCACTCAGGGTACCGTGATGGTATAGAGGAGGCAGCCTAACGCTGGCTTGGTGGGACCAGGGAAGGCTTCCTCGTGCCTTGTTAGCACAAGGAGATGGGCAGGAGTGGGGTGTAAGGGGAAGGCCACCTAGGCAAAGAGAACCACCCAGTATAGACTTGAGCTCAAAGAGGGTTTTTAATTTATAAACACATTCTTGGTTTTGTTTTCTTTTTTTTTGAGACAGAGTCTCACTCTGTTGCCTGGGCTAGAGTGCACTGGCGTCAGCCTAGCTCACAGCAACCTCAGACTCCTGGGCTCAAGCGATCCTCCTGTCTCAGCCTCCCGAGTAGATGGGACTACAGGCATGCGCCACCAGGCCCAGCTAATTTTTTCTATTTTTAGTTGCCTGGCTAATTTTTTTTTATGTTTTTGCAGAGATGGGATCTCGCTCTTGCTGAGGCTGGTCTCAAACTCCTAAGCTAAAGCGATCCTCCCACCTCAGCCTCCCAGAGTGCTAGTATTATAGGCTTGAGCCACCATGACTGACGAATAAACATATTCTTGTTTTTGCAGAAATTCTTTTAAATAACGGATCAGGCTCCAAACGTGTGAATGTGGAAGAACATTACATTTTCATATGGAATAATAAGACAATCCTTGGAATAAATGTCAGAATTATTTGGGCAGAAATTAATGCCCACCAGAAAGGTAACTTTGATGAGAGTAGCAAGAATGCTTTCAGTTTAAAGTATTTTTGTTTTCCTTCTTCAAGATTCTCGTAGCATGTCAGATTCGTTTCTTATGTACATTTATGATTTAATCAAAGAGACAGTATTTTTTTTTTTTTTTTGAGGCAGAGTCTCACTCTGTTGCCCTGGCTAGAGTGAGTGCCGTGGCGTCAGCCTAGCTCACAGCAACCTCAAACTCCTGGGCTTAAGCAATCCTATTGCCTCAGCCTCCCGAGTATGTGGGACTACAGGCATGCACCACCATGCCCGGCTAATTTTTTCTATGTATTTTTAGTTGTCCGATTAATTTCTTTCTATTTTTAGTAGAGACGGGTTCTCACTCTTGCTCAGGCTGGTTTCGAACTCCTGAGCTCAAACAATCCGCCCGCCTTGGCCTCCCAGAGTGCTAGGATGCAACTTAATTTTTTTATAGAGAGTGTTGTGCCCAGGAACAAGTTACTGCAAATGCAAAACATTCTTTCTCTTTAGGTACTGCTCTTTTGAGAGACATACTGCATATAACGTGTTGGTAATATGAGCTTTCTAAGAAATAGTGAGCTGCAGATGATGGGTTCTTAACCTGAGATCCATGGTGAGACTGCATGGGGTCTCTGAACGCCCTGTCCTGTGTGTTTTGTATTTATTTGCAAACATACCACCCCCTGGTTTGTTATATACTTGTTCCTTTTTTCTTTTTTTCCATAGAACTGTGGTATAGAAGGATCTACTTGTTTCTTTCATTCGCTTTGGCCTCTTCAGTGCCTCAAACAGCCTAATGCTTGGGACTGCACCGTCCCACATGGTAGCCACATGCAGCCATTGAGCAGTTGAAATGTGGCCAATATCGTGTGTGAAAATAATAATATTTTGGATTATTGATTGATTCTAGGTGTGGCTATATTGGTGTTCATGGTATTATTTTCAACTTTTCTGTACATGTGAACATTTTCATAGTAAGAAGCTGTAAACAGTAGGGTGGAGTAATAGGAGATGGATGGGAATAGGACCTGACACCGGGCTTCGAGGTTGCACGGATTTACTAGCAAACGGTCCCACTGAAAGGCTACTTTGGTTTAAGTTTCCTTTACAGGCTCCTGCGGTAGGCAGTATTAATCATTCAGCAGGTGTTCATTCCTGGCCTGCTCATGTGTCTCTGCACGAGAGATCCAAGACTGACTCATGCCTGCTTTTTAATTTTCAGATTTTATTTATTTATTTTTTTCCCACACCAGCAGCTCTTTATTGTAGAACAAAATGGGTCTGTCTCCATGAGTGGAGAGAGATGGACCGACAGGCCAACTCACTGACTGACCCACTCTCTCTCTCTGAATTCTCAGATTGTTCCTTTTATTAGCCCAGTCCAGGGGCAGGCTCTCGGGGCGGGTGGGTGAGATGTTAACAAACGATCAATAGGTGTCATCAATGCCATCTGCATATATGAGCCCCCTCTCTGAAAGCCCACCTGGGTGGGGGTCAACCACAATGCAGATTCAGCTAATGGCATAATAATTACACCTAGGTTACTTTAGGTCATTTTCTAAATCCTGTCATGCCTGGGCTTGGGAATTCCCAGATTCATAAAGCATTCCTTCCTTCCCCAGGGTAGCAGTTGCTCCGGATGGGATTAAGGGTGGGGCATCGCCAAAATGGAGTGTCTGCCCTTATCCTTCTTCCCAGGTGGAGCAATTGCTTGAGACAGCACCAAATCGGGAAACCCTTGTCCCGAGAACAGCCAGAGATCCTAACTGTCTACTTAACATATATATGTATATATGTATTCAGTTTTTCCTAAAAACTGAAAAATACACATTCATTTCAAGCACACATTAAACATTCACAGGGGTAGACATAGGTGGTTATAAGGTGAAAGTCATTGATCTTAAAATTGAAAAAAATACACACCCTGTTCTTTAATCCTAGCAGAATTAATTTGAAATCAGTAAGAGGAAGGAATCTCTAAAATCTACATATATGAAAATTAAACAACCACTTCTAAATAAAAATATATTATTAATAGATCAAACATGAAATTACAAAGTATGTTCAGCTGAATGAAAGTAGATTCAACTAAAGCTTAGAGGGAAATTTATACCTTTAAAAAACTTATAATTGGAGAAAATTACCCTTATCAGTGATCTAAGCTTCCACTTTAACTTAGAAAGTTAAGCAATTCAACCACAAAGTAAGTAGAAAGAAGTAATAAAGACTGTAAAGGGTTATCAATAAAATGTTAAAATGGACAAATAGTATATAAAATTTTGAAAATTAAAAACATTTTATAAGACTAAAGAAATCTGTCTTTACTGCAGGAGAGAGGAAAGGAGAAATTAAAGGGGGGAGGAAGAGAGGGAGAAAGAGATCTAGAGAGAGAAAATAGAAGGGAGAGAGAAGACACAAATCATGTGGAATATGAGGCATGAATTAGGAAACATCACCTCCAGATTTTATTGTTAAAATGTATTTTAAAAATCACATGAAGGCCAGGTGCGGTGGCTCATGCCTGTAATCCTAGCACTCTGGGAGGCCGAGGCGGGCGGATTGTTTGAGCTCAGGAGTTCGAAACCAGCCTGAGCAAGAGTGAGACCCCGTCTCTATGAAAAATAGAATGAAATGAATCGGACAACTAAAAATATATAGAAAAAAATTAGCCGGGCATGGTGGTGCGTGCCTGTAGTCCCAGCTACTCGGGAGGCTAAGGCAGAAGGATCGCTTGAGCCCAGGAGTTTGAGGTTGCTGTGAGCTAGGCTGACGCCATGGCACTCACTCTAGCCTAGACAAAAGAGTGAGACTCTGTCTCAAAAAAAAAAAAAAAAAATCACATGAACGTCCTTGTCTGTTAAAGGAAAGCAAAACAAACAATGAATGAAGGTGCTATTCTTATCTCAAGGGTGTTTTTCTTTAATTTTGCATTTCTCTTTTATATTATTTGATGAGGCAGCACTTGCTGTGTTAGCATATAGGAGGGGAGGTGCTAATTCTCCTTTGTTGTGTTTGTCCAGGTTACCAACTTGGCAAGCCTGTCCGAGTTCTAAATACCAACGGAACAAATAATGATACGACTTTTCACCTTTGGCAGTCAGGTAATCCGGCCTGGGCATTATGATTTGCCCTGTGGTAAACTGGAGCTAGGAGTATTACCATATTTCGAATCTAATCAAGGGATCAAATACTTTAACACCCAATTGGTTTATTTAGCAAGGAGATACATTCTGCCAAATAACGGCGTGGTTGTTTTTCATGCTTCTACAAGTTTTTTTTTTTTTTTAAAGGAATGCTATCATTGTTTGCATCTGAAGTGCTGGTTGTTAGTAAGATTTAAATATCTTGAGATATCTCTTGTCATTGTCATCTATAGCCCAAGATGGTGCTAACTAGAGACATGAGAATACATTCTGAACTATGGAAAATCTTTCCATCAGTGGTAGTTACCCCACATCTGCCAGAGGAGTTCGATTCCACGTTGTGTATAAACCACAGATCAGGTCCAGGGATTCCGACACAGGAAGGCACCTTGTTCCACTTTGAAGGGATTAGAGTAACAACCATATTAGTTTTCGAAAATTGGAAACTTTATTTCTACTTATTGTTTTCTCTCTGCCTTTAAACTTTGAATTAAATCCCTACTAATTTAATTTGAATTAAATCTATTTAGCAAAAATAATAAGAGGATAATCTTTTTCTTCTATAGCTGGAAGGGGTTTGTGTACATCAGCAACTTTCAAACCCATTTTATTTGGAGAAAATGCACTATCTGGGTGCTTATTAGAAGTTGGGATTAATGAAAACTGTACTCAGCTCAGGTGAGTGTTTCATCGATGAATTCCTCTGCAGTTTGAATGGTTTGCTTAAAATTAATTCCCTACATGAATGTTAAAGACAACATGAATATGAAAAATTAGAGTCTGAATTAAACCTTGTAAAAGTCAATCATGAAGAGATTTACCATTTGTCTGATGTATCTGGGAAAAAAAGAAAAAAAATCCTTTAAAGGTGATAGTGATTAATGAATCAATATAAACTTGCAATACAATTTAGAGTTTGATCCAATCATCAATATAAGGGAAAACAGGCCTCTTTCTTGGGACTAAAGTCATTTCATCCATATTTAAGCAAATTTCTCTGCCAAAGTTTGTTTAGATCATTGGAACCTCGTACTCTAGAGCTGTGAAAAGGGCCGAAGCAAGGTATAATTGATGTGATTAGTATTTAAAGAATATATAAGCCCTGTTACATGGTACGTAAAGAAGAACTTTCCACTTAGTTGTATGGGTGGCATTTGGAAAGCATATTTATGGATATACTTATGCATTCTTTTATTTAAAATGTAGGTGAAATTGGCTGGGTGCAGTGGCTCACGCCTATAATCCCAGCTCTGTGGGAGGCTGAGGCCGGAGGATCGCTTGAGCCCAGGAGTTGGAGGTTGTAGTGAGCTAAGATGACACCACTGCACTCTAGCCAGGGCCACAGAGTGAGACTCTGTCTGGAAAAAAAAAAAAAAATTAGGTGAAATTCATGTAACATCAGATACCAATGGCAGGGAAAAAATAAAAAAATAAAAGGCAAAAAAATGTAAAAAAGGACAAAATATATAAAACAAAAAAGGATAAAAAATTCACATAACTGTCTTTTAAAGTGAACAATTCAGTAGCATTTAGTGCATTCATAATATTATGCAACCACCACCTCTGTGTACTTTTCTAATTCTAAAACATTTTCATCACCAAGAAAGGAAACCTGTACCTATGGAGCAGTCACTCTACAGTTCCTCCTCATCCCAGCCTCTGTCAACAACTAATCTGCGTTCTGTCTCTGTGGATTTACCTGCTCTGGGTATCGGCAGCCGCTCGGCTCACAGGTTGTGAGGCCCGAGTCCACAGTCCTTCTGCGGTTCGGATTTGTACCCTCCAGTGACACCACTGGAAAGGAGGGATGCTGAGTCCCAGTTCTTAATCTTCACTTAATTTTATGACTCAAAATTCTAGCTAGATATTTGGGTTCCTTTTACTGTTGGATCACTCTGGTCCATGAATTTATCCTGATAACTTGATATGTGACCTAACCACCTCCCAGGTTTGGTGACACTCAGTGGAGTCTGTAAACTACATGATACCCACGTAAGTTGCTAACATTTTAAGTCCAAAGTAAAAGATTGCTTCTGCGTGTCCTCCCTTGCTGCTTAGGTTGTCCTGGGAAGGCCATCGAAGGGAATTGTGGTGCCCAGGCAGTTTTTAATGCCAGTTCTTCTAGCAGTTTTTTTATTTAGGCACTCGGCAAACACAGCCTGGACATTCACTGAAAAGGACTTCAGGACAAGACCTGCTGGTCCTGAGCTGAGAAATGTCATACTCTCTTGCAGGGAGAAAGCTGTTGAAAGACTTGGTTCATTAATAAAAGCAACTCATGTTGCAATGAGAGGCAACTCCAATTACAGTGATCTTAGTGATGGCTGGCTCGAGATAATACGTAAGTCAAAGCTGTGGGCAGTAAGATGTGTGACTTGGTTGCTGTGACTACCAACTGTAGTTTAGCATTAGAGATTGACCCAATAGGTCATCTTTCTTTGTCACGGCATAACTGGACATTTGTCCAGGCAGGAAGCTCTTCACATCTTTCTCCTCTTATTCATGATAGTTTTTTTGTTTTTTAAGAGGAAATTTACATGAATTCAGTTGCCCAGTTGTTTTATGAGCTAACAATCTCTGTAAAAGAAAGTCCGGGCCAGGGTAATGGCTCACAACTTTAATCCCTTTGCTTCTGGAGGCCGAGGTGGGAAGATGGCTTGAGTCCAGGAGTTGGTCACCAGCCTGGGCAACATAGCAAGATCTCTTTTCTAAAAAGTAGAGTAAAAGTGAACCGGACTTAGCTTGTACCAGCTGTCCTGATTTTACCTCCAAATCCAAAATGTCCATCTACAGTTGTTGAGATCAGGCTCACCGGGTCATCTCTGGAGAAGCCTAAGGTCACAGTGAGTTTTGGCAGAGCTAGAGTGAAAACCCAGGGTTCCAGTGTCTTTCCTCTCTTCCCAGGTAGCAAGTCAGGTATCTTTCTGATTTCTTGGGGAATCTTGAGTGTATAAATGTGTTGAACAGAAAGCTTCTCCTATTGGGCTAATTAACGGAATTGCCTTAGGGCCAGAAAGAGCTCAGTAATCCTGCTCCTCTGCTTGTTAAGCCCTGGGCTCTGCCATCCAGGCCAGCTAGGTGGCCTGTGGAGTGACCCCTGGGGGATGGAGGGAAGGAGTGAGTCAAAGCACTCGACAAGTAAACAGTGTGGAAAATTGCCAGACAGAGAGCCCAGGTTGGTCAGGTATAAAATCAGAGAAGTGATGACATTTCGTTCCTTTCAAGGTAGAAGAGGTTAGCTTCCATTTCATGTCTGTGCCAAAAAGCAGCCCTGATCCTGGTTAATAAACAGAAGAGAAGTGATGTTGACACACGTACGAGGAAATTAGATATGAAGAAAGTGTCACTGACCTTCAGAATCCCTGAAGGAGCAAAGAAACCCCCTCCAGAGTCATGACGGACCCTACCTCTTGTCATTGACTTTGCTGGTTTTTCCCCAGGTGCCAGTTTTCAAGATAATTAAAATTAATTTCTCATTCAATTTTATTCTCTTTCAGTTGTATTATTGCTCTGGCAACACATTAGGAAATTACTTTTTAGCTATCTAATCCATACTAATTGAAGTTGTTAGTATGGATTTTAAATGTCTTATACTGCTTTTGCTAAACCATGATTACATGGGATAACTTTTGGCATTTTACACAATTATATATTTTCTGTTAAAAGGCTGGGTAGATTTCAGTGGGGAGTTTGGAAACTGAATCATGATTTATGGTTTTATTATATGGGTCAGGGCTTTTAAAATTCCTAGTGTGATTTAACACACAAGGAAACATCTTAAGCACAACTTTGGTTAATTAGCGCCAGCCTATATACCTTGTAGGCTTCAAGAGGGTAACAGTTATGGAGTGACAAGCAACTAGAGCCTATGGGAGATTAAAGTCTCAATAATGTGCTTTCTAATATTATTTCCCATTTCTGGGGTCTTGTGCTATTGTAGAAAACCGTTATTAAATTATTTTTTCAAAAATGCAAAACTTCACATTTCTATAGATGTAGATGCCCCTGATACAGGGGCAGACCCACCTGTTAGCAGCACCAGTGGCATCTGCCCGGATGTTCCTGCTCAGCTGCACATCCGCATCCTCATCTCGGACGCTGGCTTGGTGGAAGGGATTACTCAGCAGGAGATACTTGGCGTAGAGACAAGGTATGATCACATCTTAGAAAAGGGTAGCTTAGAGAGTGTTGGTAAAGTTGAGGGTGTGCCAACGAAGAGGGAAATGCTAATTTAGATTCTGATTTTTTATTTACAAGTTGCAATTATTAGTATTATGATTATATGTATATACGAAATGTGTATAAACTATGTTTGTAATGGAAACTTATTCTCACAAGTATTTATGAAGCTTTGGGTAAGAGATTCTGTAAGGTATTTTAGGGGGTACGAAGGTAAATAAAGGACTACTTAGCACTGAGCATATTTTGAAATCCATGAACGTGATTGGCATGCTGATCAGAGAATATCGCTCAGTGGTTGGAGACGCTGGCAGCAGACAGGCAAGTTCAAATCATGGCTCTCTCTCTTAGGAGCCGTGTGACACTGGGCAATTGCTTAATCTCTTCTGAGCTGCAGTTTCCTCATCTGTAAAATGGTGATAATACATTTATGTACCATGTCTCTATCAGTTTTAAGTGATAGGGTCCCAGTTCATACTGACTTAAGCAAAAAAGGGAGTTTATTGGTTCACGTTCAGAAAAATTCACATACAGCTAGTTCATGGTTCATGGTTCTGATGGGGTCAGGAATCTTTTTCTCTTCCTCTCTTAGCTCCTCTTCCCTTTGGGTTGGCTTAATTCTCAGGGACATTCTCCTCAAGAGATGGCAAAGATGAACACCAGCAATTCCAGGCTCCCATCACTTTACTAAATCTGGTGGGAAGAGAGCCCTTCTTTCCTCATCTTTCTCAAAAAGGATCTGGGCAGAATTTTATTGGTTCAGTTTGGGACATGTGCTCCTTTCTGAACCAATCACTATGGCCGGTTCAGTAGACAGCTCTCATTGGCTAGGCTCAGGTGATAGGCCCACCCCTAGATTCAGGCTAGTCCCTGTGGTCCACTGAACTGAGAGTGGGGAGTGATGGTTCCCCAGGGGAAAATTGGGGTGCAATTACCAGAAGACAGGAGAGGGGATGCTGGGTAGGCAAAAACCACCGAACTCACCTCGGTAGTACTGTTTGGAGGATTCTGCAAGATGGTGTGTATAAAGTCTAATATTTTAGTTCTGAGCCTACAACATGGAAAGCCCTCAGTAAATGGTTAGCCATTGTTTTTATTATTTTTAGATTGTTTAAGACAAAAAAGTGATGTGTTACCTTTAATAGCACCTGATTGGCAACATACTGGCAATTGTATCTGGGTGGTAGGTCCAGGAGGGTTTATTACACATACTCTTCACTCTCCTTGTGTCTATATGGGAAAATTCACATAATACAAAGAAGAAAAAAGCACAAGTAGAATTTAAAACCTCCTAAGAGAACCTCAGTTTATATCCTCGTTGTATCTGTTACCTGGTGGTCTTAGTAGAACAGGAGGGAAGGGTGGCCGTGTAGCTTGATAGTCTTTTGCTCCTAGGTTCTCCGCGGTGAACTGGCAGTACCAGTGCGGGCTTGCCTGTGAGAATAAGACCGGCCTTTTCCCTGTCGGTGCCTCAGTCCGGTTTATTACAGTACCTGCACAGTTACCCCGCCCCCTGACAAGGTAATCCCGTTGCTGCCCTTGTTGACATTATGAAGAAGCAGAAAATATATATTAGAAAATCGAAAATTTATTCCTTTAGTCAAGTTTTGATGCTTTTCACTTGTAGTTTTTATAACCTTCTAAAATGTTTTGCAGATTCCAGATCAATTTTACAGAATATGACTGTAACAGAAATGAGGTGTGCTGGCCGCAACTTCTCTATCCATTGACCCAGTATTATCAAGGTAGGGTAAGACAGATTGCTGTTATCAATTATGTTATGTCAATTAGAAACATTTTTAAAAATGTACAAATATCACAGAAAAAACATACAGAAAAGTTTTTTTTTTTCCATCACACAGAAGAAAAGTATTAAAAAGAAAAAAATTTACTTATAATATTGCCACTTAGAAATTATCAGTATTAATATTTTTGGCTTTATTCTACCTACATAGTTATAAAAAGAGTTAAGAAATAATGTTGCTTAATTTTATTCATTGTTTTCCAGGGGAGCCTTATTCTCAGCGTGTTGCCAAGGGCTTACTGTTGGTATTGTCCCTCATTCTGGCTGTGCTCCTCAGCAACCCCTGGACCAGAATATTCCAAGCTTGGAGTCTGACTACCATCTGACTTCTTAAAGACTACAGACCCTTACTTCTGTGATTTGTTGTAGTCCTATGTGCCTCTTTGTAAAATTTTAATAAATGAAAGTTTTTTTTATTTATTTTGTTTTGTTTTTGTTTTGAGACAGGGTCTCACTCTGTCTCCTGGACTAGAGTGCCGTGGCCTCATCATAGCTCACTGCAACCTCCAACTCCTGGGCTCAGGGAATCCTCTTGCCTCGGCCTCCCGAGTAGCTGGGAGTACAGGTGAGAGCCACCACACCTGGCTAATTATTTCTATTTTTAGTAGAGACGGGGTCTCACTCTTGGTGAGGCTGGTCTTGAACTCCTGACCTCAAGCGATCTTCCTACCTTGGCCTCCCAGAGTGCTAGGATTACAGGTGTGAGTTGCCACGCCCTGCCCAAAGGTTTTATTTTTGTAGACAATTTTTATTAAGTTCTCTGAGTTTAATTCATATATGTAGCTATCCAGATGTTCAAAACGTGCAGAATGAACACTGTTTTTTTTTTTCTTTCTTTTTTGTTTTTTTAGAGTGAACATTCTTATCACTGCAGTGGACTGAGTAAAATGTATGACAGGATCAACTAGGTAAATAAAGGTTAAAAATTTTAGCCTTTCACAAATTACTAGAGTCATAGGAGTTTTATTTATACCAGAAAGAGCCAATCTTTTCTTGAATTTTGTACAAACTTGTGTTGATTGATTACTTTCCTGTTTTCCAAGAGAGGATTAAGAAATGCATAAAGCCTTAAGAATACATATAGCACAAAAGCACACAATAATTGATAAGGAAAGACATGGGGATTGGGGGAGGGAAAATAATAATAAAGCCAGGGGCACATGATGCCAAGACTGCATTTAGCCTAGGCAGACCCTGAATTTAGTGCCTGCTAATGTCACAACACCATATAAGATGTGTTGTTGCATCTTCACGGCAGAGTTCTGGTCCAGGGGGCTTCAAATCTTCCTTCCACTCTTAAGTCCATTTTTAAATACGAGGATAAACCAATTGGGCACAGGTCATAATTGTGTACTAGATGGAAAACCTGTCAATTTCAGCATCTGTTTTGTGATGGTGGTGGGCCTTCAGCCAACCCCAAGGTAGGACTGATTTAGGAGTCTGGGTCAATCCTGAACTGAGGGGGTGGGGTCTGGGTCAATTTTTGTCTAAACTTCAGCCATTTGAATTCACCTTCACAATTCTTTCTTATTACTTAAAATTCTTTTTCTGTAGAGACAGGGTCTCACTGTGTTGCTTAGGCTGGTCTTGAACTCCTGGCCTCAAGGGATCCTCCCATCTTGACCTCCCAAAGTCCTGGGATTACAGGTGTGAGCCACCATGCCTGGCCTCACCTTCACAATTCTTACTGTATCTTAGCATCACCTATACTGTTGTTTAAACTTTTCTTTAAATAAAATTACCAAATTAACTGATAATATTTATGACACTATGTGTGTGATGTATCTTTCCTAATAAATATTAAACATATATCTAACGACAGATTCTTTTTTTCCCTCTCAAGTAGCACTGTTTGTGTTACTTTGGAGGAAACACTGGGGTCCTCCCTCTTCTACTTCTGTTTCTTTGATTTGGATCTCTGTAGGTCGAAATGATTATACGCTATAGGAGTTGAAAGTTGTCTTTTGTCAAAGAAAAGGAAAAACCCACTGATTAACTGCAGTGATTCAGAAAGTCTTTCAATGGCAGTTAATGAGACTAGCTTTGGATTTAAGATATTTATGGAAAATTAATTTAAAATTTCTAAGTGACAGGTAATTTAGCCTGATTTTGTGGGCTTTGTTAGGATGCCTTTTGTACTTAAGGGAGGGTAAAGCTCACTTTGGCAGGAGAACGGGATCTGGGGTGCACACCATATGGTTTTAACTTTCTAAGTGTATACATTCACCTATGCATTCAAGAACTCGTACTGAGTGGCGTGCTACGTGCAGGGGCCCTGGAGAGCCCACAGTGCCCGAGACCATGTACCTGCTCTGGCACAGCTTACATTCTGGTGGGAAGGCCGGCACTAACCACGCAGGCCAGGTTTCAGATGGCGGTAGGCGCTGTAAGGAAAGAAAACGGTGTGTGCGAGGGAGGGCTGGTCTGAAGTAGAGGGGTCGGGCCGCCTCTCTAGGGAGACCCGCAGGAGCCGGCTTCGGGAGGTCGGGCCTGGGAGGGTGCTCCGGGTGGAGGCCAGGTGCGCACCAGGTGCTGGGCAGGCCGTCGACGGGACGTGTCTGCAGGTGGCGACTGTGGAGACAACGTCGTTCGGTGGTCGCCGGACCCGGTGGGAAGGGCAGACCGCATCCGCGCAGGGGGACTCTTTCTGGGGTCGATGGGGGAATGTTGGAAATGGGATCGTGGTTAACGGCTGCACACTCTGTAACTTCACTGAGAATCACGCAACTGTGCCTCTGAAACGGGTGAACTCTACGGCATGTGGACTCCGGAAGGCGCCTCTTCAACAGCTGCAGAAAGCCCAGCGAGCGGCTTTCCCGGCGGGCCCCGGCTGAGCGAGGGCAGCAGCGGCCCTCCCCGCCGGGTTTGCGCCGGTTGGCCCGGCCGCCGCGGCTTGCGGCCGCAATCCCGCGCACCCATTGGTTGGCCGGCGGGGGGCGGACCGCGGGGGCGGAACCGGAACCGGCCGCAGCTCGGGGGCGGGGCTTCGTTGGCGGCGGCGGACGCGGTAGCAGGACCCCGGACAGCCGCTGCAGCTCGGATCCCCATGGTGCGGGGCCGCGGCCAGGCCGCAGGAAGAGCCCGAGGCTCGGGCCGCCCCGGCTGACTGTGCGGGCCCGCGCGGCTCGGAGCGCCGCTCCCGTCGAGCCCCTCCGGGGTGCGGGCCGGCCCGCCATGGGGTCGCTGTTCCGGAGCGAGACCATGTGCCTGGCGCAGCTCTTCCTGCAGTCGGGCACAGCCTACGAGTGCCTCAGCGCCCTGGGCGAGAAGGGCCTGGTCCAGTTCCGAGACGTGAGTGTCTCCCGGGAGACGCGGGCCGCACCTGCCCGCCCGCCGCGGGCTCTCACGTCCCGCCGGCGCTCGGGCCTTCGTGCCGGGAGCGCCCGGGCAGGGGTGCGCCCCTGCCCCCGTTTCCCAGGCGGGGAAGCTGAGGCCTCAGCTTACCGAACAGAGCTTCCGCCCAGCGGGGGGCTGGCCCCGGGGTCGCCGGACGTCTGGTCCGCGGCCACTCAGCCCGGGCTAGTTGGGATCGCCTCCGTGTGGTCTTGGTCAACTTGGGGTGGTGCTCACCAATTGTTTGGGGAGAACAGATCCCCAAACAGATAAAGGCCTCTTGTTGTCCTTTTGGAACTTACGGGGCTGGCGGGGGGACATTAACCAGATAAATACGTAACCCAGAAAATGTTTGCTGTAAGGAAAATAAAACGGTGTGGTATGATGGTGATTTGGGTGGGAGGTGCTTTTGAAGGGGTGGTCAAGGAGAGCCTTTCTGAGGGGGTGACATTTCGGCTAAGACCCGCGTGGGAGGGTGCTGGCTTTGGGAAGATCTGGGGAAAGAGGGTCCGTGGTGGAGGGAACAGGAGGAGCATAGACAGAGCTTGAACTTGGCGTGAGCTGGGCGTAAACTCCTTGAGGAGAGGAGTTTTTGTCTGTTTTCTTCACTGGTGTGTAATGATGGACATACCATTGGGTAAGGACCAGAAGCGCAGTCATTATTTGTTGAACGGGAGCAGTCTCCTCAATGTGTGATAATAAACACTCACCTGTATCCATTTACTTGTTTATTGTTTGTCTCCACCATGGACTGTCAACCTCGCAGGGCAAGGACCTTGCCTGACTTGTTCTCTCCTGATTCCCCTAGACTTATCGCAGTGCCTGGCATTTCTTGGCATTAATGGGCATTTGTAGAATGAATGAACAAGGTTTTATTGAGTGCCTGCTATGTTCAGGCATTGTGTTTGGTGCACGGGGACTCAGTAGTGAGCCAGAAAAAGTCCCTGTGTTCCTGGAGCTCACAGTCTGGGAGGAGGCCGAGTAAACACACTGATTATGAGCTGTGATAAGTGCTCTGAAGGAAAAGAACAGGGCGTGAATGGGAGGCTGTTAAGCAGGACCTAATACTTATTGAATGGAAATTCACTCAGGCAAACATTTTATTTCCTGGCCACCACTTTCATTTCTTGGCTGTTTCCCCTTATCTTTCTGCGGGGTCCTTAATTTCAGAAGGGAACAGCCCTATCCCAGGTGTGACAGGGTGATGTTTGGGTTGGCCCCAGGAGGCGATTGCGAAGTCAAAGTCGTGGAGAAAGTAACTCGGGTACAGGTCAGGTGCAGCTCTTCCTGGTTCCTGGAGCTACTTGGGTTTCAGCCTGTGGCACCCACTCACCAGGCAGGGGCTGCGCTGACCCCCGCGATAGACTCAGGCAACAGATGCAAGTGAAACAGGCTCCTTTCTTTGTAACAGGTGTATCTGTTCCATCCCGTTAGTGCTCAAGCCGAGATACTTACCACACTTCAGTCGCAGATTTGAGCCAATGCTCTTATCACCCCAGAGGTTCAAGTTCCATTAAGTGCCGTTACATTAGGTTGTAGAGTATACTTAGGATCCTTTCTAACTAAAAGTCAGTGAAAAAAAATAAAGTGCTGGTCGTCTTTTTCCAGAAGGAAAATAAAACTAAGGCTGATGGTCAGCATCCTAGGTGCTAGTGCAGAAAGCGTTGTCACGTCTGACGCTTCTGCTGTTTTCTGGAGTTACTTACCGGCTTTGCAGACATGGGTCTTTTCTGGTTCATTATGGCTTTTGTTTTAGTAACCCTTGCCAGGGAAAAGGGGCAGGGCAAGGATTTCCTTGGTGACAGCCAGTGAGAAGACTTGGAAAAGAAAGATCATTCAGCTAAGCAGTGGGACTCAGTGCAGGGAAAGTCCTCTCACTTTTGTAACAGTTCTCAGCCTAAGAACAGGTTTCCTCTGTCCGGGTTTTTCTAGGTTAAATGTGTCTTAAAATGAATCTGTGTTAAAATGTACTTTATACCATTAGCTTTGAATTAAAAGCTAAAAAGAAAGCAAAACCTAAATTTTGTAAAAGGAACCATGCAATGGGAAAAAAAGAACCAATTAATATATGTAAGGTAGTGACGGTGGTATATGTCATATCCAATTATATTTGTATCAAAATTGCCACCAAAATTTACCTCTTTATAAAGATTCTACTATTTATAGAACCACTACTGTACAGTTAGAGTTACGTAGCGTTTGTTATTGAAGGAAACAAAACTGAAACTGAGAAGTGGTGTCCACTGTTGACAGCATTTGATGCAGAGCTTCCTTTCCAAGTTCTCAGTTCTGTGGAAATAGATCATGTCTGAATCATTAGGAACTTGGAAGTCGTCACTTTAGAGTAGTATGACCTCCAGAAATAAATGAGAAGGTGACAAACAGAAGTGAAATTTGAATTTTTATCTTTTTTTCTGGTTAATTCTTTAAAAAAAATTAAAAAAAACTGAACAGGAACTGAGCCATTTGGCAGAGACACTTCTCAGGTTGAGCAGTTTCATATCAAGTTGTGTCTTAATTGTTTTTTGAGAGTGCCCAGTACCACTGCTGGGTGGAATAAAAGATAAACTTCTTATCCTAAATGGCTTTCAACAAGAATGATTACCGTAAATTTTTTAAATTATAAAAGTAATATATGTGCATTGTGGGAAATTGTATACCTAGAAATAAGCATTTTAACTTTTTGGTTAATATTGAACAAACATTTTTCTAATAATATTGTAAAATGTGCATATATGTGTGTTTTTGTATAATTGGAATCACATTGAAAATATTTTTCTTTATTTTTCATCGTCTGGGAACTTGTTAGACACAATGAAAATATCTTAATCTGCTTTTCACACGAATTATGACTAATTTCCTAATTTTATTAAATATTCTTTTATTTTTTTTTTTATTTTATGCTTGTATTATAAGAAGTAGAAGGAAGAGTATAGGGACCCCCATGTACCCATAATGTAAACTCATGGCCACTTGTTTCTCCCCCCAACCCCATTCCCCACCCCAGACTAGATTATTTTGAAACAAATCCAACATATATAAATTCTTACTTTCAATAAGCGGCTCTGAAGGATAAGGACTCAAAAACAATAAACATGATACCATTATCATACCTGAAAATTTTAATAATAAGTTTGTTCATATAATAAAATGCCTCATCATTTAAAGCATCCTTTTCAATAAGTGCAGAGTAGGGCCAGGTGCAGTGGCTCACGCCTGTAATCCTAGCACTGTGGGAGGCTGAAGCAGGAGGATCGCTTGAGCCCAGGAGTTTGAGGCTGCTGTGAGCTATGATGACTCCACTGCACTCTAGCCTGGGTGACAGTGAGACTCTGTCTCAAAATAAATAAATATAAAAATTAAATCTTGGCAAAATTTGGGGGAAAAATATACTTTCATACACTACTGAATAGGAGTATAAACTGACATAACTTTTCTGGAGAGCAATCTGGCAACCAAAAAAGCCTGAAAATTGTCCTTTGCCCAGCAGCATCCCATGAAGAAATTTAACCTAAGGGAAAAAGAACAGATACAGACAAAAATGTATCTATAAGAACATCAACCTCAGAAAGAAAAATGATAACCCAAAAATCCAACAATAGAAAATTAGTTAAATTATACTCTATATCCCTCCAATGGAATACTACTCAGCAATAAAAAGGAACTCCCGACACATGCAACAACACGAGTGACGTTCAGAAACATCATACCAAGGGCAAGAAGCCAGACGCAAGAGGCCACATAGTGTAGGATTATTTATATGGAATGTCCGGAAAAGGTAAATCAAGAGGCAGTACATGAGCGGGGCTGCAGGCAGGAATGAGGGTTACCTATAAAGGAGCATAAGAAATCTTTCTGGGGGAATGGAATATTCTAAAACTGGATTGTGGTGATGGTTGCATGACTTGATAAATTTTCTAAAGATCATTAAACTGTATACTTGAGCCAGGCATGGTGCTCACGCCTGTCATCCCAGCAACTCTGGAGTCTGGGGCGGGAGGATCACTGGAGCCCAGGAGTTTGAGACCAGCCTGGGCAACATATCTAGACCAAGTCTCTAAAGAAATACAAAAAAATTAGCTGGCTGTAGTGGCACACGCCTATAGTCTCAGTGAGCTATGATCGCGCCACTGCACTCCAGCCTGGGAAACAGAGTGAGACCTGGTCTCTAAAAAATAAAGTAAATAGATTGTATTCTTGAATGGGTGAATTGTATGATGTGCCCCAATAAAGATGGATAAAAATTATGGGTCAGCTTCACAAGTAGCTGGGACTACAGGCTCAGGCCACCACACCCAGCTAGTTTTTCTATTTTTAGTAGAGATGGGGTCTCACTCTTGCTCAGGCTGGTCTTGAACTCCTGAGCTCAAGGGATCCTCCCACCTCG